ACCACTTCTTCTTAACCTGATCCCCACATGTCCTACTTCCTTGTCTCTGATACAATCCTGAAGGACCTGTTCTCCCCATGCACTCGGATGGCAACAACCGCATATCTTGTTAGGCCCAAAATGTGCTTGAACTGAACCAAATATTAACAGTCCTACTCCTACAAATATATCACAGTACTTTCAGGAATCCAAACACTGCAGACAGAGGCAACAAAACTCAACCCTGGCTGCAGCTATGCGTTACTGAACAACCTGCTGCAAGATTTACCATTACTATCCTTGCTGACAGATACTAAGGAAGAAGCATCTCTCAGTTTTTTGTTTTCTTGCTTTGAAGTAGAAGGCGGCACTGGAGCGAGTCCTTTGTTTGCAGACATGACGAAATGTTGATTTTGGCTGGCTTGCTCACTGACTCACAGATTGTTGGCTGCTGCATATATCTGGAAGGGATATATAACCCACATGGATAGACTGTATGACTGTGATGGATGTGATTCAATTTCAGACTTGGTTTAAAGGTATGCTAGCATGGGAGAAAGGATATAAATTGCAGGAGGCACACAATGTGTTCCTACATTTCTGCTTGCGCTGCAAGCTGCTCCATCTGTGGCTGTTAACCCATTTACAAGGAAGAAGTGGGACTCCTGCAGTAGGGAGTCACTTGCCATCAAGATATACTCCGTTTCAGACCACCTTTTCCCTGCAAAACTGAGTAGAGAGAGGCATGAATGCTGTCTTAAGATACACGTATTTGTTTTGAAATGGTCAGTAGATTTAGGGAAACAGCAAGAGGAGGGAGCACGAAAGAATAGGGAATAGTGTGAGGACATTTGGTGGGACTGTTTTGTTTCTATTTTAGTGCTCTGTGTTTTGCTTTTAGAATACAACCGAGTAGGACCCGCAGAGCCCCGTTTCCCAAGACAGCACCTTTCCTTCTGCCAGGGATGGGGAAGGAGTTTTTGGGCTGCCTCTCCCCTCATCCCTGGCCAGGGCTGAGCAGAGGGGGGAGTCTGGCCCCCCGCGCCTGGCTCTGCACTCCCGACCCAGGCAGGCTGCCTTCAGAGGTGCTCTGGATCCGGTCCTGATCCCCATTCTCCGCTCTCACCTCCGCAGAAGGTTCGTGGCCTCGGGGCTGCCGGAGGGTCAGTCCGCCCGCTGCTGCATGGCGACCCCGCTGTCCTGAGGGGGAACGGGGCACGTGTGAATGGCCTCTGGGGCAGCTCCCCTTCTCCCTTTCCCTCGCCCCCTGCTCGGTCCCCGGCGACCTCCATGAGGACTAGAAGCCCCGCCGGGACCTCGGCCTCGCCCCCCCCCCGCCCGGAGCACCTCGGGGGGAGAAGCGGAGGAGAAGCGGCGGCCTCCCTTTACCTCTCTCCGCGCGCTTCCCGTCGGCGTCTGTTGCCATGGGAACCGCGCGCGCCTCCGACAGGCGTCCCTCGCAGCGCCTGACAGGGCAAAGGCCGCTTCCGCCCAGAACTTGCGCCAGGCGCTCCCTGCTTTCACCCCCGCTATCCGCCCGCTTCTCTCCCACGCGCCCCATTTTAGAAAGGTTTTGTTTTGTTTTAAGGCACCGAGTTAGACGCCTTGACAACGGCGATGGGAGCCGGGAAGGGTCCTTGCCCTAAGAAGCAACGGAGCATGCGCGCCAGAAAAGGCCGGCCCGCCGCGCTTGCGCCCAAGAGAGAAGGAAGGAAGGGCAGTGACGTGTCCGCCTCCCCTGCCAGGCCAAGGACTCGCGCGCAGTGATGGGGTCCCTTGTATATTCACTGAGTCGAAGCATAGCTGCCAACTCTTCCCTTTTCTTGCGAGGAATCCTATTGGGAATAAGGGGATTTCCCTTGAAAAAAGGGGGAAGTGGACAGCTATGGCACGAATAGTAAAACCCCATTTAGAAAGTGCTTTGTGTCCCCTTGGCGGTCAGTAGAGCTCGTGGCTGTGAATGCAGCTGACAGCCGAGGGGCCACTGAAGGAAGGCGGAGCGGCCCTTTCTGGGATCGGAGGGGCTGCAGCCCCACGCCTTACCCTCCTCAATGTCACCACCCCACACTCGCCTGCAGTCCCCTAATTTATGAGGGGCTAATGCCATAACTGCAGCATGCAATGGGAAATCTTTCCCGACACCTGCCTACTGAGCAGTTGTGGTTGCTTTTACTAAGATCGAACAGATGCCAGTCTTGATGTCTGTCAGTTGTAATTATGTGAGTCTTGCCCAAGGATATTTTTCTGGAAAAAGAGGTGCCGGAACTGGCCAGGATCGCCTTCTTCGTTCCCTTAGAATTGGCCATGGTGCCCCTTGGAGCATAGCTGCCAACGTTTCCCGTTTTTTAAGGGAAATTCCCTTATTCCGAATAGGATTCCTCGCAAGAAAAGGGAAAAGTTGACAGCTATGCCTTGGAGAGGTGCCCCCTTCCCGCATTTGACAAGGCAGAGAGCATGACGTGGGTTGCTTGTGGGACCCTCCTGCCCTCCAAGCGCAATAGGGATAAAACACAAGGTATTGCTGGGTCCTCCAGGGCTCTGCCCCACCCTGTCCCCCAAACTGCAATGTAGGGATAGCAACACTGGAGGACACGCCAGGGTTTTGCCCTGCTCCCTCAACTGCTATTCACCTCACCCTTGAAACCTGCAAAAATTATCAGCGGGTTATCTTTAACCCTTTTCACCATAGCCCACCCCCAACCTCCTATTTAGGGATAATAGGTGACTGGTTTATAAAGGCCTACTCTTCATGCTAGGTTATGCTGTGAATCCAGATGGACCCTTAGATGGGTTACATATAAAAGCATCTATCACTTCTGCCTGGAAAAGGGGAATCATAGTAGGGCAAACTCAGCCTGTTCAGTGGGCATCATGGGAGCCTACGCCTAAGGGCAAAGGTCCCTTCACTACCCCCAATATTTGAGGTGGCCACCCTCCACCCCCCAGTTGATGGGCATTCAAATGGTGTGCGTGCACCACATCATGTAATCAGTTTTGCAGGGTGGGGCTTACCTGCCCCCCATATTTTATTCAAGGCTGCACCCCGGTGGGCATAGAATGCGGAGTGTCTGGGGAGGGGAGCAGAGAAAGAGAAAACTGAAGGGGAGACTAAATGATGGTGGCTGAAGCCCTGCTGGACTAGCACACTGAACAGACACACTCCACGCTGCAGCATTTTCTTGCAAATCCCACGTCTCAATGCACACCACAGATGCGCATAGATGATCACGATGATGATGATTTAAATTTGTAGCTCACCCTTCATCCCAAAATCCCAGGGCAGTTCACAGCAGAAAAATACAAAATGAGAATACAAAATACACATAAAACAAAAACATAGAATGGAGAATACAGTGGTACCTCTGGTTACATACTTAATTCGTTCCGGAGGTCCATTCTTAAGCTGATACTGTTCTCAACCTGACACCACTTTAGCTAATGGGGCCTCCCACTGTTGCCGTGCCGTTGCCACGCAATTTCTGTTCTCATCCTGAAGCAAAAGTTCTTAACCCAAGGTACTATTTCTGGGTTAACCTGAAGCGTCTGTAACCTGAACCGTATGTAACCCGAGGTACCACTGTACCACACTTTCAACCAGTTCGTTGTCTAGGTGCAGTACATTGAGGCTGGAATGAATGCAAGCAGACGAGTTTCATGGATAGCAAAATATATTTCAATTTCTGTAGTACAGTATAGATCACATAATCCCTTGCAAGTAACAGAATAGGTCACAACAGACAGTTCGATACATTTTGGACTCGGCTAACAATTCTATATCCCACCATCAACAGCCTTCCCTGACCCATAATGTCCTCCATATTACAAAAGATGCAAGTGAGGCTTGGGAAGACCATTCCTGTGTCAGGTACAGTTTGTCCTCTTCTCACCATCTGTGCAAGAAAATTTTTCCATTGCTCACTCTGAGAAAGAGGAAAACTACAGCCTTGCAATCCAGCACCTTCCAGGTAAACAGGATGTCTCGTCGCAGAGGTACAAAGGTTACAATCAGTTGTGTAGATAATTTGCAAGAGATCTGCAACCATGTTGTATCCATCCAGTTTACATTCACAGATTCAGTCCCAAAGCATGAGGTTGATTACAATTAGTATACTGATCTTCCCACACGTCCCCCTTAGAAAAAAGTACACGTATTTCCCAAAGACAACAGGATGTATTTGATAAAATTCTCAAATTATATTCTGAAGATGGAGGTTTGGGGGGTTTCTCTTTAAACAAGCAGCAGAAAAGGACACAATGTGATGAAAATTCTTTGGGTGGATCCCGGCCATCTTATGATGACAATTACAGTGCCATCATAGACAATTTAAAAACAAAAGCAAAAAGCTTTTTGGAATGGATGAGTCGACCATGTTAAAACTGATTTAGCAATACTACAATCTGCACATATAGTTTGTAATGTTCTAGGAACAGAAATCTCCCTCACACCTCTATCTAGAACCTGCAAGTGAGTAGCCTCTAAAAACAGTGTGTTTGTTAAGGGTATTTATCAGACTCCTTCAGAGCTTACACAGGGTGTTGATCCAAATTCAGATGCTCACATTTCCTCATCTTTCTCCAAAAGTGGATACTGTTTCAGTGAATTTTTAAGTTTTGAACTAGATTAAATACTGTACTTGACGTTTGGCATCTTGAAACTACTGTTCATAATATTCAATCCAGGTGGCACTTCCCCCAAAATCCACAAAAATTATCAATGACACACCCACCTTAGTCAAATAAACCTGGAACACATGGCTTAGCTAAATGGCAATACACTTGGGTCATATCAAAGTACTGATTAAAATTAGAACACTTATCACTTAAGCTGTTTTCTGCAGTATAAATCAGAATTAAGTTTCTTTTTAATTTTTGCTGCAGTTAGATGACATGAGAAAAGCCGCCAGCACCTAGAATTTACTAGGGCACCAAATTTAGGACAATACAAAGGACAGCAGCTCAAGAACACAAAAAACTTGCATTTCCCCTATGTGCCTACGCTAGTACATAGCGCTGCCCCCCCCCCCCCCCGCACTCTTAGAACATGTCAGAAATGCACTTTAGGGCGGCTGAGAGAAAAGCTCCAGATTATAGACTACACAGTGAACAGTCAGCAATATAGGGGTATTGTTTTTCACAATGACACAGTCCCTCCTTCTGTAGCTCTAAGCACACCACCCACCCAAGGCTGTCTCACAAAGTAAACCAGCGTTTTAAGTGGAGCAGCATGATCATTTCAAGCCAACACACTCTCTAGGTTCTTCAACACAAACTGCATTTGCCCTCCAAATCGCTGCAGTAATCCTCAGTGAGGAATGCAAAAAACTTAAAACTGGACACGTAGCAAAAGGCAGCATTTTGCTGCTTATAAAAATTTTAATCCACATAGCACTGTGGGGATCCCCCTAATCAAAACCGGCAGCCTATTGTTAAAGCTCCCCAGCCCTATGCCTCAATTCCAATCCACATTGGGGCTTGACAGATGCTATTATTTTCAAAAGAACTAATTGCAATAAACAGCATCAGGTCCGCTTGGGTCCTTAGCTAGAGAGCAGGAACCCCTGAAGACACTGGTTCTGGTTAAAATGGGAATGATACAGCCCTTAGTAGCAGACAGCACCCACTTTTGCCATAACTAAAGACAGTTTCCCTTTAAAAAGTCTGCAGTCATTTCAACACGCTAGCCCAACTTGTTGTCATTGTTTAAAAGACAAGCATCTTCTGGCCTTGACGTGGAGGGATATCCCAAAGGGTGTCAGACCTTAAGATGGCAAGTCCAGGAACGCGGTTTCACATAGTCAAGGAAAGTGGGCTATAAAACACAAGAGGAACAGTAATGTTAGGCAGGAAATGCTGGGCACTTTCACTTCTGTAGAGTTGTCTGTTAAGCCTCTTCTTCCTATCCAGTAGCCATGTGAACAAATGCCAGTGATGAAACCAAAGTGTTTTCCTTTGCTGTCTCTCAAGCCTGGGCGGCCACCCAACTTGCAACAGCCAATCTAGGCAATTAGAAGTGGGGTGGGGGCGGGGAAAGGCTTGCCTTTCCCTGTAAGACCCCCAAATTGGCTCTTCTTTGGGTCAGCTTCACCCAGACGCTTTAACTCTCTGAATGGCAGGTCTTTCAGGTCAAGCAGAACTGCTGTCTGTAATCCTGAAACTACAATCCTACTTGGCTCCAGATACCATGAGGCCTCGACAGTCCAAGAACCAGCCCCAGAGGGTTATGCATATGCATGTGGACTGATCTGGCACTACATATTGAAGAAGGAAAGGTAGTGGGCACCGCATATTAAATGCGGCAAAGATGTAGTGAATTCTCTCTGTTTGAACCCAGGAGATCCAAAGGTGGCAGCTGAATCAGAGAACACAGCAAGTAGAATAAAGAAACCACTGTGCTCCACTAAGGCCTTTCACTCTTTTCCATTACCTTCCTCTCCCTCCCTTCTTTACTGCCCCCTCCCATCCTCTGAGAACCTTTGGCTCTCACCTCTCCAAAAGGGCAGAAACTAGCTCAGAAATTTACAGTATTCATATAAAAAGACATGGAGGAAGTTTCAAAGGTTTTTTTTTCTGACCCTGCTGCTTGTTATTCTTGTTAGAAAGAAACCTCTACGGTAGCTATTCTGGGCAGAATGCAACCTTCTAAAAATCTGGTTTTCGAATTTTATGTTCACATCTTAGGGCTTGAATGAATAGTCCAGAATAGCAGCTCAGCTCTGTTCCTCTTATTTCCATTGACAAGTGGGATACTCACATTTTTCAAAGGGCAGTGCTTATGGGCATTCCATTCCAGGCTGTAGAGGTAAAGTATCATAGTCGTACCAAGCCCAAGCGTAAGCCACAGGATCACCGTCCAAATGGGGCTTTTCCGACGGTCGCTGAGAATGAAGTTGAAAAACGCTGACGGAAGAAAATTAAAATGCACTCAAAATTCCTGTTAAGGACACCAGCAGCATTCTTTCCTTGATCCCCAGTTAGCAAAGTGTCCGTATCAGTATGACACGTTGTACCTCTTTCCATAGAAATAAATGGCTCTCAACGTTTTTTTGGAGTTTCAGTGGAAAAGAGACAGGGCTTTCCCTTTAAATCACACAGAAAAATCAGTGGGCCACCTACTCTTATGAAACAAAGTTGGCTATATGATAGGAGAAATACTTGTCCACCATGACAGATGGTTGATACTGCCAGTGTCAAGCAGGGGGAAGGGGCACCTCTTTTCAGGTTGCAAGCTGGAGACCTCCAAAGCAAGGATCATCTCAGAAGTCTTTGAGAAAGCCGCATATTAGAGTTTGGAGCATTATCAGAACTTCTTCCTCAGCCAAGCCAAGGAAGTCCTCCCTCCTACTCTGGCCATGATCAGTCTCAGAAAATGGAGATTCAACTGGGGTCAGGAGAGGCTTCTAGGTTTAGAGGGAGCAAATGGTAAGGCAGCCTGCAACACAAGCCCCTTGCATCTTAGAACATGAAGTACAGATGGCAACTAAAAGCTGATCCTCAGAATTTACAGAAACTGCTGCTGCCGGGAGGTATATTTGGTAAGGTAAACTAAAGGGACCCCTGACCGTTAGGTCCAGTCACGGACGACTCTGGGGTTGCGCGCTCATCCTGCTCTATAGGCCGAGGGAGCCGGCGTACAGTTTCCGGGTCATGTGGCCAGCGTGGCTAAGCCACTTCTGGCGAACCAGAGCAGCACATGGAAACGCCGTTTACCTTACCTAGTTATCTACTTGCACTTTGATGTGCTTTCAAACGGCTAGGTTGGCAGGAGCAGGGACCGAGCAATGGGAGCTCACCCCGTCGCGGGGATTCGAACTGCCGACCTTCTGATCAGCAAGCCCTAGGCTGTGTGGTTTAGACCACAGCGCCACCCGCATCCCCTGTTACATTTGGTACTTACGTCCAAAACACATGTAGACGAACAATAATACTGGACAGAAGAAACCAAAGGTCATCGCCAGGATGTATTCATGCACAACGGCGGAAAAAAGGAAGACCGACAGCATAGCGACTGCTTTGAATTTCTTCCCAAATAACTGGTGGTGAGAGAGAGACACAGACAAACAAGGGGAAGGGTGAATCTCTGATAGGTGAATGTATCAGAGGATATCCAATTTTCAAAAACAACAGTGAACAGCTTGTGATAACCACCCTTAAATTGCCCATTCACATTTATTGCACAGGGAGGGTTGTCTCCAGTGGTGGCCTTGCTCTATCAAAAGGACTTTTACTTGCACAAGGCAGGGCAGCTCATTTTTGCTGATCCCTCCTACTCAATGCAGCCCCACAAACACTTAACGCGAGAGCTGGAACAGTGTGGGGTGAAACTGGTGGTAGACTGATAAAAAAAAAGTGACTTCCCAAATACTGGATACAAATCAGACTGCATAAGTACAAGCTTCTCTCTTTCCACCTTCTGTCAGATCTCTGTATGGGTAAAGTGACTAGGTATTTTACATGTTGTGTAATTCACCTTTACATTAAAACTTTAATAAAATATTTTGTGGGGGAATGTAAAGATCTCTGCCATTCCTTTAAAAAATGACTTTCTATTAGAGTTGAAGCAAGGGGGTGCATTAAAAGATGGTTGCTTACCCAAAGGAAATCTTTGTATGCATAGTAATACAGCCAGTCATACACCACCACATTCATGGTTCGGAAATAGCTTGCATAAGATGTAGAATTCCACCAGTCCTGCAAGAGAAGATCAGGGAAGTAAAAAGAGCAGAGACCTTAGAGTCAGTGTTTAAAACTGCAGGATCAAAGTGCCAAGTGCATTCCTGCTACTCAAGTGTTTTAGAGCAATTGGCAATACAATCTCTGTGAACACCTGGTGTACTGTTGCAATGTATAACTGAAATTCCCCAAGAGCTCATTTGCAGGCATTAAATCCTAACCTCCTCTTTCCCAAACAGCCACCCTGAGAATGAGTCACTGGTGTCCCAGTATTTGTAGGTACACTAGGTCTCCAAGGCTCAGATCCAAAATGATTAGAGCTAGCCAACCAAAAGCATTGTTAAACCCTTCCAGATCCAGGACATCAGTGTTCTCAAGAAGTAACCAATCTTTCATCCAGCAGAAAGCTGCAGCTTCGTAATACAACCTCAAGTCCGGCAGGGCAAACCCCCCTCTTTCCTTTGCATCAGTTAAAATTTTAAATTTTATTCTGGGCTTTTTGCCCTGCCAGATAAACTTAGAGATGTCTTTCTGCCACTTTCCAAAACATTCCACTCTGTCCACGATCTGTAGGGCCTGAAACAAAAACAGCATTTTTGGCAACACATTCATCTTTATAGCAGCTATTCGGCCCAACAAGGAAAGTTTCAATCTTGTCCAGATTTCTAAATCCTTCTTAATTTCTGACCAGCATTTTTCATAGTTGTCTTTAAATAAATTCAAATTTTTAGCAGACAAGTTAACCCCTAGGTATTTCACTTTTTTGACCACATTTAAATCCGTCTCCTTCTGAAACCTCTCTGTTTCCATGGATGACAAGTTTTTTTCCAACACCTTGGTTTTCTGCTTATTTAATTTAAATCCTGCCAACCGACCGAATTCATGAATCAATTCTAAAGCTCTTTTCGTACTAGACTCTGGCTCCTGTAGTGTTAAAACCAGGTCATCTGCGAACGCCTTTAATTTGTACTGTTTAGCTCCGACCTGTATCCCTTCCACCAACCGGTCCCCTCTAATCATGTTCAAAAGAACCTCCAGAACCGAGATAAATAACAGAGGGGAGATAGGGCAACCTTGTCGTGTTCCTTTTTCAATCATAAACTCTTCTGTCACCACATTGTTAACTATCAGTTTAGCTTTCTGCTCTGAATAGATTGCCTCTATTCCATTTTCAAACCCCCGTCCCACTCCCATCCCTTCCAAATTTTTCTTCATAAACTTCCATGAAATATTATCAAATGCTTTCTCCGCATCTATAAAAATTAACACTGCTTTGGTATTGATATTCGTCTGCAAAAGTTCCAAAATGTCAATAATGTTCCTCGTGTTGTCAAACAAATGTCTACCTGGGAGAAAGCCTGCCTGATCTTTATGAATTACTTCATTTAGCACTTTTTTAAATCTGCTTGCCAAAATGTCAGCAAAAATTTTATAATCCACATTCAGGAGCGAAATGGGACGGTAGTTCTTAAGTTGAGTCTTTTCAGTTTCCGATTTAGGTATCAATGTGATGAAAGCTTCTTTCCACGATTCCGGTGCCTTCTTCCCCTCCAAAATCTCATTACAAACCTCCAAAAGTGGTTGTGTCAAATCGTCTTTCAATGTCTTATAATACTTTGAGGTAAGTCCATCTGGCCCTGGAGACTTGCCTAATTGCATGTTCAGAATGGCACCTTCAATTTCTTATTGTGTTATTTTGCAATCTAGTATTAACCTCTTTTCCTGGGATAATTTTGGTAGTCCATTCTTCTTTAGAAATTGATCAATCTCAGTCTCTTTTTGTGGCCCCTGCGTATAGAGTTGTTTAAAATATCTCTGGAAGCACTTTCTGATCTCTTCGGGGTTTTGTATATTTCTCCCTTCATTTTCTAGGTTTGTCACCGTGTTCAGTTTTTGTCTCTTTTTCAGCTGCCATGCTAGCAGCTTCCCACATTTATTTGCTGACTCAAATGACTTTTGTTTCATTGATTTGATCTTCCACTCCACTTCTTGATTTACCAATTTAATATATTGAGCTTGATAAAATTTAATTTCTCTCAAGATCTCCTGCGACTTTGGTTTCAATCTCAACTTTTTTTCTCCTTCTCTTATTTTCTCCAAGATCTTGTCTTTTCTCTCATTCTGTACTTTTTTCTTAATGGAGTTCTGTTGAATCAAAAAACACCTCATAACAGCTTTGCTTGCATCCCAGATTACTCTTTTTTCCACTGTGGTGTTCAGATTTATTTCAAAATAGTCTCTTAAAGTCTTTTGGGCCTTCTTAGTAACTTCCTGATCTCTAAACAAGGTGTCATTCATTTTCCATCTAAAGGAGCCGGTTGGAGTTAGTCTCATTTCCATTTTCATAGCGTTATGGTCGGAGCAAGTTTTTGGGCAGATTTCCACTTTTCTAGTCTTCGGTGCCAGTCCTCTAGTTATCCATATTTGGTCGATTCTTGTCCATGACAGATGAGCTTCAGAGAAGAATGTTCCTTCTCTTCCTAGGGGGTTCTTTGTCCTCCAGATATCAATCAAGTCCAGATTGTCAGTTAGCTCAAAAAAAGTTTTAGGTAGTCTGCCGTCTTTTGTTAAGTTTTGGTTTTGTGATTTGTCCATGTTAGTAGATACCACCATGCTTATTTGTGGTACAACAAGGTAAAGGTTCATAAAATGTTCAAGAACCACATTGTCAGAAAAGCAATATTTAATGTCTGGTCAAAATACAAGGATTTGCTAGAAAACAAGACTCCAAGGTGGTTGTCACCTTTGGAGGCCAAGGCTCGGAAAAGACTCAATATGGAGGCCGAATGGCCAAAATATTGGGAAATAATAGAAAAGGATGGAGAAACCTGGAGGTTGCAGAGTTTGGAGAAATTAAAGGGTAAAGTGCGAGATTGGCTACACTATGCTCAGATTAAGGAGGTCTTTAATATGGATAAAAAGGTAGGATTCCAGGTGGAAAAATCGAAACTAGAAACAGAATTGTTAGAACCTAAGACTAAGGTACTTTCAAGAATGTATAATTTGCTGTTGAAATGGAACACACAAGATGAAACAGTTAAATCAGCTATGATAAAATGGGCACAGGATATTGGATATAACATCATGTTTGCGGACTGGGAAAGGTTATGGACCACCGGTGTGAAGTTTACGGCATGCAATGCTTTGAAAGAAAATATTATGAAAATGATATACAGGTGGTACATGACCCCAGTCAAGCTTGCAAAAATATATCATTTGCATGACAATAAATGTTGGAAATGTAAGGAGACTGAAGGAACGTTTTTTCACCTTTGGTGGACCTGCCTGAAAGTGAAGGCCTTCTGGGAAGTGATTTACAATGAGTTAAAAAAGGTATTTAAGTATACCTTCCCTAAGAAACCAGAGGCCTTCCTCTTGGGTATTGTCGACCAGAAGGTGTTAAAAAAAGACAGAACCTTTTTTATGTATGCAACAACAGCAGCAAGAATACTGATTGCAAAACATTGGAAGACACAAGATTTGCCCACACTGGAAGAATGGCAAACGCAACTGATAGACTACATGGAGCTGGCCGAGATGACTGGCAGAATTCGAGACCTGGGAAAAGAGGAGGTGGAAGAGGACTGGAAGAAGTTTAAAGATTATTTACAAAAATTATATAAATTGTATGAATGTTAAAAAGGTGCATGAAAGGAAAGATTATGGCAACAGCAGCTTAGATGAGATATGTATGAGAATAAGCTGAAGTACAAAGATAAGTTTTGATGAGATTTGAAGTAAAGTTATGCCTAAATTAAGCAGATAAATATTTGATGGAATTAGTTAAAACCAGAGGCATAACATATTAAAATTAGAATATAAGATCTGAAGGAAGGTAATAAATTGCTGAACATAACTTTTATATTGAGAACGCAGGAAAGGGAAACGTGAGGAAGTCCAGATGGTTATGGAACATATGTATGAAAAACTGTGTTTTTCTTTTTTTCTTTTCTTTTTTATATATAGTTGATAGTTATGTCTTTTATGTTTGATATATGCTTGGTTATTTTCTTTTTTCTGAAAACTTAATAAAATATTATTAAAAAAATAATTATGATTAGAGCTAATTCAAATGTGACATTTTCTCTACATGAACAGTAATTCAATGTAGGTGGGGGCAACCTGCAAACCACATTCAGAAAAGAGAAATATAGAAGGTAGCTGAAATTCAGAGGCCTTTTCTATCACTGTCCTCTAAACTGTTCAAACTAATCATTAATGGCCCCAAGTGGAAGCAGCAGGAGGATCAGAACACACATTTGTATGATCCCTTGGAATTATTCATTTATTTAACAACATGTCTATATATACTGCTTGACTACAAATAGAACCTCTGAGCATTATACATAAGGCATTAAAATTGCCAATAAAAGTTTAAAAAGATTATATGAAGAAAATAATAAAAATTTATCTGGAAAAAAAATCTGTCTAAAATGTATAAGTTACTGTTGGAGTGGCATACAACGGATGAACAAGTTAAATCAGTAATGATAGATTGGGCAAGAGATGTAGGACATAACAATGTTTGAGGATTGGGAAAGATTGTGGAAGAAAGGGGTTAAGTTCACTGCATATACAATGTTAAAGGAGAATATAATGAAAATGATGTATAGATGGTATTTGACCCCTGTTAAATTAGCAAAGATATATCATATTTGTGATAATTTATGCTGGAGATGTAAAGAAAAAGAAGGAACTTTTTATCACATGTGGTGGACCTGCCCCAAGGTGAAAGACTTCTGGGAAAAGATTTATAATGAATTGAAAAGAAATGTTGAAATATACATTTATAAAGAAACCAGAGGCCTTTCTTCTTGGAATAACAGGTTTGGAATTGCCCAAGAAAGATGTTAAATTATTTTTGTATGCCACAACTGCCACTCAAATTTTATTAGTATAAAAGTGGAAAATGCAAGAATTTCCTACGGTGGAAGAATGGCAGATGGAGATGATGGAGTTTTCGGAGCTAGCCGACCTAACCGGAAGAGTCCGCGACCAGAAGGAGGAGGAGTATCAGGAAGAATGGACCAAATTTAATGATTATTTAGTTAAATATGTAAAATTAAATTAATTGGAAATAGCTTGCAGATATTTAATTGGCTTAGGATTTCATATAAGTTAAGTGATGAATCAATATGTTTAATTTTAAAATTAAAAGATATAAGGATGTTAATGCTTTAGTTAAATTTCATAAGAACTTTGATTTGGAAAACCGTTAAAGGGAAGTGCATGGAAATTCAACCAAGGGGAAGCGAGGAAGTCACTTAACCATGTTAATAAGTGTAATTTTAATAAGATTATGATCCATGTTTGTTTATTTGTTTTGTTTATAATTTTGTGAAAATCAATAAAAAAATTATAAAATAAATAAAATAAAGGTGCCAGTATATGACAACACTAAAAGAAGGCTGCAGGTGAGTTCTACTATTTATAGAGTGGACATGCTTTTCTTCCATGACGCCATACCCAAAACTATTTACATTTGTTTAAAAGTCACAGCAAGGTTAAAATTCTATCCAAAAAGCCCAGTAACACAACACATAGCAACAAATGCTTTTGAATCAGGAATGTCAACAGAAAAAAAGGCACAGGTTCCCTTTTTCACCAGAGGTAAAGGAATGTATTAACAGGTTGTCCAGAAAACTGATGGTATCTGATCGGCCTCTCTAGGCAGGAGGAACCTCATCAATGGCAAACACACACACACACACACACACACACACACCATTTCTATCAAATGGAGCGTTCCACGAACCAAGGTACACTCTAAAACTGATAGCAAATACTTCTTTGCGTGTTGTGTTTTGTGCATGTGTGTGTGTGTGTGTGAGAGAGAGATATCATGAGCCTTGCACATCAATTACCTTGTAGAACATTCTGTCAGCAAAGCGCAGCATCTCAGCAAAAGCATTCTGCCAGCAGTGAAGGAGTAAATAATATAAGGTTATTGTCGCCAATGAACCTGTGGAGCAATGAAGAAAACATGTATTTCAGGCTAATTTATTTCATTCATGTGGAGGGGGAAATGGCTTGCCCTCCCCCCTCTGTATTCCTCCCCAAGTTTCCATAAAGGCTCTAGAGTAGCAAACACTTGAAATAGAAGCAATGAAAGTATTGATTGACCTTGTTTAGGACAATATCTGAGGATGTTTGCTCTTGGCCATTTGCTAATACAGTGTTGGGCAAAGGTTTGTTGATCTTATGCCACATATACTGTACAGTGGTGCCTCGCAAGACGAAAAGAATCCGTTCCGCGATTTCTTCATCTAGCAGTTTTTTCGTCTTGCGAAGCAAGCCCATTGACAGCTTAGCGGATTAGCGCTACAGCGGTCTAGCAGCTTTCAGCGATTAGCTGTTAAGTGGCTTATCAGCGGAACAGCTGATAAGCGGCTTAGCGGCTTAGGAAAAGGGGGGGGGAGCGAAAAAAACCCACGGGGACTCGCAAGATTTTTTCGTCTTGCGAAGCAACCCCATAGGGAAATTCGTTTTGCGAAGCGCCTCCAAAACGGAAAACCCTTTCATCTAGCGGGTTTTCCGTCTTGCGAGGCGTTCGTCTTGCGGGGCTCCACTGTACTGCAAAAGCTCTGTGAGGGGCAAATGGCAGCAAATAAGCTAGCAAGGATAAGAAATGGGCCTAGCAATAAAGATCATTAAAGATTGTTAATGTGTAAATGTAAAGCTATGTATTTTAGTTGCTTTGGTCATATTTGCTAAAGTATTAGTTAGCTTGAACCTTTATATATATAAATAGAAGATGTATAATGTTGTGCTTCTGTTTTCAGGCCACGAACTGAGCAAGCAGACTTTCCCACCTCTCGGGGGGGGGCGGGGGCAGGGGGGACTCCATGAGGAATTTAAAAGATAAAAAAGGAGTTTACCAAAAACAAACAAGCAAACAAACACTGGAGCCTTTCTGTCAGGGATTATATGGTTAGAAATTCCAAAAAAGGATGGTTAAGTTGTTTATGTATGTAACTACAGCTAGGTTTTCAGCTAAAAGCAACAGAAAAAATTAGAGACTATTGTGTTATGATTATGATAAATGAGTGACAAGAGGCTGCAGCAAAGGGGGGGGATAAGGAAAATATCACAGAAAATGGGCTGAGAAGTCAAGAACAGAAAAGAGATCCCTTTTTAAAAATGCATTGGAATGTTATGTGTAAAATGTTCAGAAATTTAATAAAAGTATTATTTAAAAAATTGTTAATGTTTTAGATAATTCTGTTGCTTTAGTCATACTTGGTAAAGTATTAGTTAGCTTGAACCTTTATATACCTGTATATATAAAGAGAAGGTATATAAAGTCCTTTACCAATATCAGACTATATAGACTAGAACCAAGGATAAAGAATCTGCTGTTTGAGTTAAAGATTTACTTTTGTGTCATCTGTTTTGTTTGACTTGGCTGTTCCGGTCTGAGGTTAGTCTGTTGTACTAAGTGATGACTTGTAAGGGGGTCTTGACCAGAGCATGGAGGTAACATGACCAGAGCATGAGGATGTCATGTCATCGCTAATGCATAATGGACAACGTAGAACTCGTTATATATTTAGCATGATGTAAACTGTATGTGAAAGAATATAAAAGTGTCTTGAAACCAGTACAGTACAGGATCAGTACAGTACCCACCATTTTAGGGGACTGTCCTTGACTGCAGTAAAGTTAATAAAAGGGTACTGTCTTGCTGGAATCCTTGGTTGAATTTCTTATTTAATGGGATGAACCTGAGGAGTGATTTTGGCCCCTCGCTTGACAATGACCATGTAAATAACTGATTACCCTCCCATTAGGAACCATTGTCTGTTTTTTGACTGGCATCTAAAACAGACAATGATGGAGCCAGACACTCTTCCCTGGGGACCGCATTCTACAAGCAGGGAGCCACCACTGAAAGGGTCCCTTTCCATGTTCCACCCTCCACTCCTCCCTAAGATATTTATGCAGTGACCAGGCTGGTTCACCAGCAGAGAGGAAGCCCTTCTGGTGTTGGGGTCCTGAGCCGCATGAGGATTTATAGGTCAAAACCAGCACTTTGAACTGAGTCCAGAAACTAACAACTGCTTGCATCCCCAACACAAGACTAAAAAGCAGAGTTGGATGAAGCAGGATCGCACCTTCTCCAGTCTACCAGGACTGCTGTTATTAAGGAACATACTGCAAAAGCTGTTCAGAGAGAAGAGCAGTAGCTCAGTGGGAGTGAGGGCATGCAAAAGGTCAATCTGCAGCATCTCCAGGTAGAGCCAGGAAATGTTCCTTGTCTGGAAACCCTGGAGATCCACTCCTGGTCAGTGTGGATGACCCTGAGCTAGATGGGCCAGTGGTCTGATCGGTGTAAGGCAACTTCCCATGTTCTCTCTCAGAACAGTGAGATTCACGCTCAGCCTAAGCTATTGCCCCAGTAACAGGTTTTCATGAACCCTACAAGTCAGGGAACTACAAAGCTAAGATCACATATCCAACAGGCCATACACTGCCAGTTGTTGCCAATATCACCACTGTATCTGATTATTTATTTGTTGCTTAGAAATATTCCAGAATTAAAAGGGGCCAGGGTGATACGCAAAAGCACTCACTTGGAAGCATGGTGTGCAAGATGCAAAGGACCAGCCCTCGTACATTAAAGTGCTCTCCGCCATATTTCCGAAATACAGGAAAGATGTATATTTCACTTATATAGTGCACATAGAAGAGTGACGCAAGGACCTAGAGAGGAGTAAAAACAAAAGCCCCTGATTATAAAAGTAGCACAGGAGGAATCCGTAAGAGAGAAAGCTGATCCCAGTTACCAATATGCACAGATCTAAGCTGAGTAAAGATCATACATTTAACGCACATGACATTCCCCAAAGAATCCTTAGACATGCACTTTAACCTCCCCCCCCCGAGCTCTAATTCCCAGCACCCTTAATAAACTGCAGTTCCCAAGATTCTTTGTGGGAGGAGCCAGGTGCTTTGAATGTCCGGTATGTATGCAGCCGTAGGCAACAGCTGACCAATCATTTCAGGGACACTACGCTAGTCCGTGCTTCTTTCAGATAAACGGCATTCCACGTGGGCTCCACCATGTGCAGAATTACTATGCCAGCAGTTGGGAGGCCTGGGTAGGTGCGCTGCTGGGATGTGTATATGTGGAGGGGCCCAGGTGGAACACCTGCTTTACCGACAGCAGCTGCCGTGGTAGCGGTTTCATTGTCCTGCAAGGAGCAGGCCCCACGAGTAGAGTAGAGTAGAGTAGAGTAGAGTAGAGTAATCTTTTTATCCAAGATTGTCCTTTGAACTTTTAGGATATGTGACACTGCACGGCAAGCCCAGCCCAGGGAAGGACTATGTCTCCATTTGAGAAATACGACCGTGCTTGAAATTAGCTGATCTGCTCCACTCGGCAAAATAAAAATACACTATACAGATTGCTGCACTGTTCATAATTTCCTAAACTCTGGAAAATGTTTACAGATGATAAGAGGACTAGCACACAGGCATTGGTTATAAGTCGGTTTAGGAAGGCTTGACATTTAGTACTATTGTATCCTGAGAAGTGAAACTGTTTTATTTATCTTACAATGGGAAGGTGTGTTTGTCATTAGTTTAGGGGTAATTATTCATTCAGTGATCCAAATCTAAGGGAATAGGATGCAATTCCAGGTGAGCAGGCATGGAAGCTTCAGAAAGCATTGTGTCTATTTTTTTAATGCCAAAATAAAAATAAGTAATACAGGCTTGTGCACTCCAGTAGGCTAGTACATATTTTTATGAACCAGTAACTCTTATCAGCTTTCAAGGCTGTATAATTATCTGCAGAAACACAGAAATCCCCAAAGGAACAGAAATACCTAACCTCTGCAAACATGGTAGCTACATAGCTCCATCTTATTGTAGGATTTCTGAAAAGAAAAGGAAATCACAGTCATTACACCTAAATCAAGATAAGAACTTGCTTGGCATCAACTGAAACCCAATTTGCGAGAATTTTACAAACAACTGCTAGACAGCAAATCACTTTGAGTTACTTTCCATAATAAAAGCAACTAATAAGTGCAAAAGAAATAATAATAGCAGAGCTGATGTAGTCTGCAGTAAACACAATCCAATTTCTATTCCAGAACAGCAAATATTTAAAGTAAGAAAGTTTGTTTGCTAGTTATGGCTTTGCTCAAATGGCATGTTTTACTAAATGTGCAGCTGCACTATTATTTTTTTTAACAGTTCATTATTTTGCATAAAGAAGGAAAGGAGTAGTTGAGGGCAATAGGATACAGACTGCAGAATGTGGAATACCATGAAAAATAGAAAGACAACGCTGTATAACACAGCAACTTATACAAAGGAACTCTAGAACCTTATATATAAAAAACCCCATCAAAACCCATGAAGTGTAGAATATCTTAAAGCCAAAATGGTCAGACTCAGCACTTGTTACTGGAACCAGAAACAAAAAGCTCTGATGTATGTGCTCAAAAGAGATATGCATTGAACCAATCCATTTTGGATCCTACTAGGCTTGCTCCGGGAAAATTCAGAGAAACAAATGGTTGTCTTCAACTAACCTTTACTCAGAGAAGACCCACTGAAATTCAGGACCATGAGTTAAGTTAGAGACCCAGCAGTGGGTAGGGTCAGAGGCAAAAGTGGGTAGTGCAATAGATAGAGAGGCTCAGAGGCCAGTGGTGTAGCGTGGGTTGCCTGGGGCCGTGCGGACAGGTTGGGTGGGAGGGAGGGAAACACATTCAACTGCCTAATACTATCCGCATCGCCCAGGAGACATAAGAAGAGTCGTTCTGTGGTCTAGAGAAATCACTCTGGTTCTCATGGAGAAGCTGTTTTCAACGGACCCCAGCGACACAATGTGCAGTTATATTGAGGCTGCCCCGAGTGTTAAACTTTTGCATCCATAACAATTTTGCGCCCAGGGCAACCGTGCCTGTGACGCCACCATGCTACGCCACTGCAGAGGACTGCACTTGCCCCCTGGGCCTGAGGTCCCCAACCCGTGTGTTATGCCCTCCGTTGTGAAGCATGCATCCAGTCCAACCTCACCATCACAATGGCTATAAGAATTGCCAAGTCACAATGGAGCAACTACATTGACATTACCGGGGATAGGCATCTCTGTAAATAAGGGTGGGAGCAAAGAGGAAATACAGGTACTGGGAAACTTTAGGAACTTGAACGGTGTCTGAAAAAGCAGAAGGGAGAGAGCTGTTTAGTACCAGATAATGCCACATACTAAAACATAAACTCACAGGGTTCCATCCTATTTTCTATGGGTCTCAAACTGTTCATTAATGCTTGAGTTTAACAGTAATACATTTATACAATTTCTCAGTCCAAGAAGATGGTTTGTATGCCATTCTTATTCTACTTTTTTTCCCCAATGAGTAAGACAAGTCTGTGACAAGTCCCTTACCTCTAGTCCACCCCAAACGCCCTCCCACCCCAAATAACCCCCCTATTGTCAGAGCACTTTTCCCTGTTCCATTAAACCCAGGATTCTCTTATATCCTTTGCAAGATGTGTACTCCTATTCCAATAAGCATTAGAAGACTGCCAAGCTGCATGGTATTGGTAATCTTGCAAAACATGGGGAGGCCCATACACACATTCTTCTGAACTAGAACAGGTCTTTGAATTGTCTCCATGTCACAGAACCCAACCCTCAGAACAGGAAGAAGGGAGGGTGCCTTCATCCCCACAGCTGTACAATTATTGTAGGAAACAGTCACTCACTTGTCTTCTGTGGCGTAAAGGAAAGTATTCGAGAAGTATTCTCCCTAATGAAAGAGTAGCCTTTCATCAGCAGGCGCACCTAAAGGAGGGGAGTAACAGATAAAATGTATTTGACATCTTACAATTAAGTGAGAGATGGTCCAGAAGGATACCATGGTCAATAGCATCAAAAGCTCCTCTGCCCCTCTTTTGATGAAGGTGAGACCAAAGCAGATTCCGTCTCAAGCCAGGTCTGCACCCAGAATGCAAGAGGTCGAGAGAATCAGTATCCTCCAAGAATGCTTCCAGTTGTAATGGCATTGCTCTCTCCTTCATCGTGCTCAAAAAGAGGGTGTTTGCAGCAAGTTATTAGTGGTTTAAACCATCAGTGTATCTGAAAACAGAAGTACCTACTAGACCTTAAGAATTATGGTGCGTTTCTTTTTGCATCTGACCATTTCTAACACCCTTAGGTTCAATCTCTTGGAAAAAATGAAAACTTGTCACCGTTAATATTTCCCCAAGTCAGGCAGAAGCAAAAGTAGAATGTGTACACATAATTACAGGTTAGCTAAGGACTCAAATCCTGGCATAAAGCAGCATTTTGCTAATTGAAGCTTTGTGAAATGACCTTGAGCTACATCCAGAAGAAACTAGCTCTCCACATGAAACTCACCTGCTCAAAGATCACTATGGCAGCAGAGGCTGGTGGTAAATTGTAAGCGATGGCTATGTAAGCTGGTCCCACTCCAAGCCCAAATATCTGGAAGATCGTGAAGAGACCCCCAAAGAAAGTGGAGCGGATTGTCTTGTGGGAGGAACCATGGTAGCCCTGGGCCCACAGCAGGAAGAGCCCATAGGGCACAGTCAGGGTGGACAGGAACATGTAAAGCCAAGTGGAAAAAACGACAGAAGATTTGCCAAAAGCGTAGACCAGGAGATCAAACTTCACCACCAACCTTCAAAAGAGATTCAAACAACACAGAACGTTAAAATCATATACTTGGGTTAAAATATATCTTCCATCAAGTTAAATCAGTAACAGCTAAGGAATTCTATAATGAAAGTTGAGGTACTTTTAGTCTTTTTTAGTATTTTAAGTTTTGTATGTTTTAGAGTATGGTTGTGATTTTTTTCATGGTTTTCTTGTTTTATCTTTCGTAAACCGCTTTGAGGTTCCTTTTAGAATCAGGCAGTGTATAAATGTTATGAAACAAATACTGAACTTAAGTATACACCCTAAGGTTTTATACAGGACCCCTTGGATAAGCACACGCATGTGGGAAAACTTGTAGTTATTGTGGCATAGCCTGCAGCCTTTCAGTTAGTACTGAGAGGGCTCCACATCTTCCAAGACTTTGCATGCAGATACATTTTCATTGGTTCAGGTATGAAATGACTCAAGTCCAACACTAAAACAAAACAAAAACAAACAAACCTCCAGCTGATCCCTTCAATATTTTCCTACCTTCCTTCATCAATGGAGTCTACTATGAGGGTGCAGAGAATGATCATGATGAAGAAAGCAATGAACACATGATGTATGGTCCGGATGTCTTTCATTTCAAATAGCTCACTGAGGAAAATAATTATAAGAAGTACATTAGAACATTTCAGGGGGTGGGGACAAACTCCAGGACTTCCAGTGATTAAACTTAAGAGCTGAAAGCAAACAGGAATATGGTCAGAAGATTCGGAGGATATGGCCATGGCTTCCCTGGGCCATTTGCGTTTTCCCCTTCAAATGTAACATGCGATCACTCTTTCTCAGTGCAATTTCTCTGCATATGTTCTGCAAAATTCATCTGTCAACAAATATAAGACCTTCACCACTTTTTAGAGGGGGTAGTATGGAAAGAAGTGCCGCTGTACAAGAGAAAGAGATTCCCGAACTGTTTCCAACCAGCAGGCAGTGGCGGAGCTTCATGCACTGGGGGGCGGAGAGCAGGTGGGGGTGTAGCTGGAGTGTGTCCTGGGGGGCGTGGCACGCATCCCAGGGGTGTGACGCGCTGCCCACAGGGGCGTGGTGCATGTCCTGGGGGCATGGCACACCGTTTGTGGGGGCGCAGCCACGATGGCACCCCACTGGGATCGCTCTGCCTTTTAGTCAAATTACCCGTATATGGTTTACATCTTTGACTTCTAAAAGCCCACGTAGAGGCCCCAATCGCTGGTTCAATAGTATAAGCCGCAATTTTATTAAAATTAGGAGGATACAGCCTGATTCGTATTTCATCCATATTAAACCCCTACCCACCTACCCTCATATTCCTGATCATAATTTTAGCCCTATGAGGTATTGTAATAATTAGCTCAATTTGCCTACGACAAGCAGACCTGAAGGCTCTCATCGCCTACTCATCCCTAAGACATATGGGCCTAGTAACCTCTGCTATTATTATACAAACACCATGAGGCTTGACCGGAGCCATAACCCTAATAATTGTAGATGGTCTAACTTCCTCAGCCCTCTTTGCTCTAGCAAACACTAGCGCACCCCCAAACTTTACTTCTTGTACAAGGCCTGCAACTTGCCTTCCCATTAATATCAACTTGATGATTATTCATTAACTTAACCAATACAGCCATGCCCCCCTCAATCAACCTACTTGGTGAGTTATGAATTATTACTGCCCTATTTAACTGATCATCCCCCACCATCGTCATCACCAGGGTTGAAACCCTCATTACTGCCACTTATTCCCCATACATATTCTGAATAACCCAACGAGGAGCCATTTCAAATCAATTTCGCCTTCTCCCTCCCACCCATGCTCGAGAACATCTTATCCTTATCCTACATTTGCTACCCCTAGGACTTCTAATTCTAAAACCCACCCTAATTTCAGGATTATTCACTTGTAAATATAGTTTACCAAAAACACTAGACTATGACTGAGATAGAAGGTTCTACCTTCTTGTTTACCAAGAGCTGTATAAACAATTAGAACTGCTAACTCAAATAACTAAGGATGAAATCCTTAGACCTCTTACTTCTATAGGAAAGTAGTAATCCATTGGTTTTAGGTACCAAAAATCTTGGTGCAACTCCAAGTAAAAGTAAAAATGCACGACCTCCTCCTACACTCAACCATGCTAACAGTCCTATTTATCCTAACACACTCTGTTCTCACAACTATAAACCCAGTTCCTTTCATAATGGGATGAGGCATGCTTTACGCAAAAACCACTGTACAATTGGCATTCAAAGTCAGCCTAATCCCCCAAGCTATTTTCATAAACTATGGCACAGAAGCCTCAACAAACAATTTTACATGAACTAACATTGCCGATAGAGATATTAATATTAACCTTGTCTTACACATGTACCCCCTCACATTTATCCCAATTAGTTTATTCGTTACATGATCTATCCTTAAATTCGCTAACTGATATATATCACCAGACCCCCACATATCCTGATTCTTCAAATACCTCTTAGTATTTTTACTAGCCATATCAATGCTTGTCACAACCAATAATATATTTCAACTATTCGTTGGTTGAGAAAGTGTGGGAATTATGATTTGCCCTCCCTGAGGCTAATACAGCAGCCCTTTAGGCTATTATCTTCAACCACGCAGGAGATATTGGACTTATATTAGCCCTTGCCTGACTTGCAACACACCTAGCAACTTGAAATATTCAAGAAATAACCATTCAAACGAAAAACCCGCCTCTCCTACCCCTCTTCGCCCTAATTCTCGCCTCCGCTGGCGAATCTGCCCAATTCAGACTATGACTCCCAGCAGCAATGGAAGGCCCAACATCCGTTGCACTCCCAGCACTCTATTGCACTCCAGCACTAGGGTTGTAGCTGGCGTGTTCCTTTTAATCCGACTTCACCCAATCTTACAAAACAACAAGACAGCCTTAACTATTTGCCTCTGCCTAGGAGCACTCACCATACTATTCACAGACCTATGTGCCCCAACAACAAAAAATTATTGCTTTTTCAACCTCTAGCCAACTAGGCCTGATAATAGTAACTATTGGCCTAAACCAACCTCAACTCGCCTTCCTTCACATCTCAACCCATGCCTTCTTCAAGGCTATACTATTCTTATGCTCCGGCGCAATTATTCACAACTTAAATAACGAACAAGACATCCGAAAAATAGGGGGGCATACAAAAAATATTACCAACGACAGCTACCTGTTTAACCATCAGAAATCTTGCCCTTACAGGAACTCCCTTTTTATCGGGCTTCTATTCAAAAGATACCATTATTGAAACCATAAATAACTCCCACCTAAACGCCTGAGCCCTTATACTTTCACTTTTTGCAACAATAGTAACCGCCACCTACACCTTACGAATAACTTTTTACATCCAATTAAATACACCACGAACAACAACATCCATTATAAATGAAACACCCCCGACCCTTACTAACCCCCTTATTCGTCTTGCCATTGGAAGCCTTCTAACAGGCCTAATCCTCATAGCCACTATTTTACCAACAAAACCAACTCCAACTACTATGCTAACCTCTATAAAATTATCCGCCGTCATCGCCATCAAGCTGCTTTATGCGGCTTTTTTGCCTCCTTCTACACCTGCCGCTTTACTTGTACTTTGTAGTTGTTTAGTCATTTAGTCGTGTCTGACTCTTTGTGACCCCATGGACCAGAGCACGCTAGGCACTCCTGTCTTCCACCGCCTCCCGCAGTTTGGTCAGACTCATGTTTGTAGCTTCGAGAACACTGTCCAACCATCTCGTCATCTGTTGTCCCCTTCTTCTTGTGCCCTCCATCTTTCCCAGCATCAGGGTCTTTTCCAGGGAGTCTTCTCTTCTCATGAGGAGGCCAAAGTATTGGAGCCTCAGCTTCACGATCTGTCCTTCCAGTGAGCACTGAGGGCTGATTTCCTTAAGAATGATTTAACTGAGGGGGAATCTGAACTTGTCTCAGGGTTTAATGTCGAATATGCAGCAGGACCGTTTGCACTTTTCTTCCTAGCCAAATACATAAACATTTTGATGATAAATACACTCTCGCATATTTTATTCTTTAGCCCTACCATAACCACACAAACAGAATTATTTACAATTAACCTAACAGCAAAAACTACCACTGGATTCTTATGGGCTCGAGCCTCTTACCCACGATTTCGTTATGATCAATTAATACACCTCCTATGAAAACAATTTCTCCCTGCCACACTAGCACTATACTTGTGGTATATCTCACTTCCAATCTCACTATCAGGGTTCCCGCCACTAAATTAATAACTATTACCAAGATGTGTGCCCGAGAAATTAGGTATTACTTTGATAGAGTAAATCACAGGGATTTATAATCCCTCACCTCCTCTAGAAGATTGGGATTCGAACCCACACCTGAGACTCCAAAACCCTCTGCTCCCACTATACTACCTTCTAGTAAAGTCAGCTAATAAAGCTCTTGGGCCCGTATCCCAAAAATGTTGGTTAAACCCTTCCTTTACTAATGAGCCCCTACATCTTATCCATTTTAATTTCCAGCTTGGCCCTTGGAGCTACCATTGATTTCTAGCCTGAATTGGACTAGAATTAAACACCCTAGCCATTAACCCAATCCTGGCCAAACAACATCATCCACGAGCCACTGAAGCCGCAACAAAATATTTTATCATTCAAGCAATGGCCTCATCCATCATTTTCCCCCCAAGCATTCTTAATGCGATACACACTGGAATTTGAGATACTACTCAACTCGCCACGCACCCAACCCCCACCATACTAACAATTGCCCTAGCCATAAAATTGGGCCTGGTTCACTTCTGACACCCAAAAGTCATACGAGGCATAACAACTGCTCTAATTATTGCAATATGACAAAAATTACCACCAATATCTCTACTATATATAACTTCTAATCAACTCCCAACAACAATTTTATTACTACTAGCTATTTCCTCTACCTTAACTGGAGGATGATCTGGACTAAATCAAACCCAACTATGAAAAATCATAGCATTTTCGTCAATCGGACCCCTAGGCTGAATAGCTGCCATCTCCCCTATCTGCCAGAAACTTCTTCTTCTAACCTTAATAATTTATCCATTAATAACTACCTCCATGTTCCTAATTTTCATCACTTCAACTGCAAAAACCGCCAAAGATTTAGGAACAATATGAGTAATCTCTCCAACACTCTCCACCCTCACAATAATTACCCTTATAGCATTAGGGGGACTCCCCCCATTAACTGGCTTCTTACCTAAATGATTAATTCTAGAAGAATTAACTACCAACCACCTCATCCCACTAGCAACTGCCCCCGCCTTAACCACTTTACTAAGCCTAATATTTTACATGCGCTTAACTTATACTAAGCTTCCCGTCTTGGCCACAGGAATTACAATGCTACTAACAGATCAAAACCTAAACACATCATTTTTTGACCCAGCAGGAGGAGGATACCCAATTCTCTACTGTTATGTACTGAAGTTCTCACCCTGGGCCAGCAGGGGGATACTGTAGATAGTTCAGGTCCACATATGCAAATAAGGGATCGAAAGTGATGTTCAGTGATTGGATAGTTATAGAAAATGGTTACTGTTGTGTGCTAGTTGAGCTCTATATAAGCAGG